TCACTGCATACAATAAGAGTTTGTTTAAATTAATTTTCATTAATTAAAAAATCTTAATTTAAGATTAAAATTAGAGATTTAAACCTCTATCGGTTAAGCACCTAATCTTCTAATATACATATATATATATATGAAAAAAATGTCTGTCAACCTTGATTAAGTGAAAAATCATTTCAAAATTAAGTAGTTTCAATAAATTTTTATTGAAAAAAGACTAAATTATCTTATTTTTAAAGCATGCATTAAAGTGATTTTTGTCATTTTTTCTCCTAATTTTTTAAAGATAAGATGGACAAACACTAACCCCTATATATATATATATAAACTCACCACAATCAGAAAATTTTTTTTAAAAAAAGAAGAAAACTCATCATGTCCACAAGTTTGAATAGCACTCATAAGTTAAAACAGAGCACAATACACAAGAACTTGTACTGGTAAAGTCCTCTATTTTGGTAAGCACAACAGAATTCGCCTTTTGGATCTTGCACCATCTCACTACATTTCCTGCAAAATATCATGACCAAAGTGCGAATGTTAAGAATGAGAAAAGAATTGTGGGTAATAATGGTTACAGAGTCATCTTGCATTTTCAAGAAACTCACAGTATGGTTCAATAATCCATTGTTGGTTGTCTTCTTCATTCCATGGGTGGTTTATAAGATTGGTTCCATCATGGACGTCATCATCAGCAGCATGCCAAACTAGACGCAGGTTGTTTATCATCCTTATGGTTTTATAATCACCATCCAAAAGCTTCTTCTGAGTCCATAACACAGACTCATCAAGAACTGTTGGGTTGTAGGAAACCAATTGTACCTGTGAACAAAAACCAAATTGACTGTGAATAAAATTCAAGACATCATATTAATGTAAGCGTGGAAATCTATTCATGATCCTTAAAGAGCCAAACTAAATTGTAGTCAGGCTGAAGGCTCAGTACCCATGTTATCCAAAAAAATGTAAATATATGCTTACATGTTGATAAGCAGCAGCAGAATGCTTAATGGCTAGGCCAGTAGCCTTATTAGCCAATGCAAAAGATGCTAAACCATCCTCATCTTTTACTCTATTGCTGTACTTCCTATCCTTGTACCAGCGCTGCAGCAACCAATGTGAAGCATCATACAAATGGTATTCAAGAATTACTACATTATGACTCAGTATATGGCATTCAAGGGGGAAGGAAGAATGAAACTGATTATATTTAAATCACCCTCCTTGCCTTACATATACCTGGAATTTATCAAAGGGGTTAGCTGGAGCTAGTATAGCTTTGCCATCTCTTATTGTAAGATAAAAATTGGGTGAGCATTTACAGTAGATTTTAAATGGTGCTGCTGTAAATTTGTGTGGAAAATAGTAAGAATTAAAATTATGAGATGAGAAAAGAAATAAATTTATGAAGTTTCAACAATGAGAAACTCTCTCTTGTTAGAATTCAATTTTGAGAAACTTACAATATGGAAGAATCTTCCAACATTGAGTGTCACTTTTATTCCTATTGCAAACTACAACATTGGTGCCATCTTGCACAAAACCCTCACTAAAAGGGTCCCCGCCAAAAGCATCCAGATACAACCAGGCGTTATTAGCACTCCGTATTGCCCTAAAGCCATTTTCCAAAACACTCCCTTCAGTCCAAAGTAAATAAGTATCCTGAACATTTGGGTCCTTTGAACTCAATTGTACCTGAAAAAAAAAAAAA